TTTTTAAACAATTTACAAAAAATATTAAACAAAATATGATTACTCTTAAATGTAATGAAATAATATGATTACTTTAGTTCTGCTGTATAATAAAGAGTAATAGCCATATAATTTAATAATATCATATTTATCAAGTAATAAAATCTCAACTTCCATATAATTTTTTTTTTTTAGATTTCTAACTTCTTATTTTCGAATAATACATACTACAATATGATGATAATTTTGATTTAGATCCAATTGATTTAGAGTCAAATAATCTCCATTGCTTTTTGAACTTTGGAAGACATGAGTTTTTTTTATTCTAAAAAAGATGGAAGCATACAATTAGAAATAGGGAAAGAAAAGGATGAAAACACACAATTAAATTTTAAAGGTTATAGCTTATGATATAGGGTTTGTTGAGACATAGAAAATACTTTTGTTTTTCTTTCGTAAGAATATGAAACCTTTTTATCTTATAATATAAAACCTGCAACTTTTTTTTCTAATAGAATGTGGAATCTTTTTTTATCTTAAAATATGAGGCATGCAAATGTCTTTTCCTTTTTCCGTGAGAATATGGAAAATATATATTTTTTTCTTGGCTTGGTAAGAAATAGAAGATATACTTTTTCCTTTTTTCCTGTTAGAATTTGGATCTTTTTATCTTAAAATATAATGCATGCAAACATATTTTTTTCCTTTTTCAATTAGAATATGGTACCTTTTCCATTTTTTGTTTTTCATTTTTTCCACTTTTTTCCTTGTCCGTTAGAATATGTAGCGTTTTTCTTTAGAATATGAAAAATATTTTTTTCTGTTTTCAATATCTTTTCAATTAGTTTTTGTTTTTACTTTTCTTTTCCTAGACATAGTTCACGATCTTAATAAGAGTAAAATTAATATCAACACATGTCGCAATCATGTGAATTATAAAAATCATACATATCACAACCATGTTGCGTGCATCAACTTTGTATAATAAGATCTCATCGTTTTTAATGATTTCATAATCCATTATCATTCTTATTATTATGACATGGATTTAAATAATTTAACTCATAAAATAATATTTCCAAAGTATTACCTACAACTCTTAGATTTCCAAAATTCATTACATTAAAATGTTTTGATTGTTTTTCTTAATATACAAATTCTCTCTAAATCTAACATAAAATCTTTATTAATTTAACAATTCTCTAACTATTAAAATCAATCAACTCTATAGAAATTATTGGGTTGGACCAATTATGTTGTAAATTTCTTAATCAACAAATGTGTTTTGCAAAAGAATTAAAGTAATTCAAAAAAAAAAATGGCCCCAAACAAGATAAATAAATCGGCCCATTACGGAACAAAATTGAACGAGACAGACCAGAATGGGATAAGAAGGAACGAGACATGACGGGACAAGACATGACGAGACAAGATATGATAGGAAGGGATGGAGCAAGACAAGACGGGATGGAGCCGAACAGAACAAGATTGGAAGTAACATAATGGGACATGACGGAATTGGACTAGATAGAACGGAATATGACAGACGGGATGGGACATAATGGAACAGAATAAACGGGACAGGACATAACAGGCTAGGACGGAACGAAAATGGATGAAACGGGACCAGACGGAACGGACATGAGGGAACAAAATATGATAGGACGAGACAATACATAATGACAGGGGACATGACAAAATGAGACAGAACGGGATGGAACATGATGGAACCAAATGGAACGGGATTGGACGGTATGGAAGACAACCAAAAGGAAACGCGAATGATTTCTGAGGGATAGATGTGACGGATGACTAATGAATTAGTGAAGTTGGTGGTTATGACTTATGACAAGGATAAAATCAGCCTAACGGAAAAATCATGGTAAAGAAAAGAGAGGGAAGCAAAAAAGGATTGGTCCTTCCACGAGAAAGCAAAGAGAGAGCACATGCTTGATTACTCAACAAAATAATTGATAATTAATGTCACTAACAATCCACTAATTAAACCTTTCAAGTTAAGTAATATTTGTGTTTTGGTTAGGAATCAATCTCTGGCGCCCCTTTTCCAGTTATCTGATATTTTATATGAAAACTGTGAAACATCCCCGTCTCTCATAGACCGAAATATATAAAATGTTCTATATTATAGATCGTGACAGCCAACATGCATTTAAACGCAAGTGCATAAACCTAACAGAATACATCCAGAGTGAATTAGCTGAGAGGCAAGATTTTGGGGTGTAATTAGTTTTCTGACAGTTCATCTATTGCTTTAAGCAACGAGCAAAAAGGTACCTGAATTCAGGTCCGGCCCTTGGCATGTGTCCAAGATGCATTTACACTAAGTCTATATTGCCTTTTGAAAAGTTTTGTTACATTTTAGGTTGCTCTTAAAAAATTTAGTCTCTTTTGCAAAAATCACTTACAAAATCAAAATTTTGGCTCTAGGTTCACAATTTTAACGAACGGGCCTGCCTAATCTCGACCTTGACCAAATAATTAACGTGCAGTTGAGTTTGATTGCGTGTGGGGAGGTTGAGTTAGGGCAAAGCGAATAATGGGAAAAGCAGGGAGCACACTTAATCGATGATTGGGCCATTGGGGGCGTGACCACTTGAATTGAATGCAGAGATATCGTCAATTAATGAGTATTTACGAGTTGAGTACGTGTCATTGGGCGGGAAGATTGGGTTTGGAGCGTTACCCTAGACATGTGGTCGCCTATAAATTAGATGGACATGCAAGTCTCTTCTTGTGAAGATTCATACCAAGAAATCTAGACAGTTTATTGAACTACCTCTTTTTTTTTTTTTTTTTCTTTTGTCGAAAAAGGTAACTTTTCATTAATTAGTCACAGCCAACTCAACCGACAAGTGGTTGAGAGAAATTTTTGCACGAGTATCAGCTAAGACATTTGCTGCTCTCGGAATTACAACAAAAGAGATTTGAAGAAAGGATTTTGCGATAGCTCGGATATCATGAGTGATCCCATAGATCTCCTTGGCTTGAAGATTTGAGTTCAAAGCTTTGATTAGTTGAGTAGAGTCTGAGGACACCACCAGTTTTTCGAAACCTTTCACTTTTGCATGTTTGAGAGCTTCGATCATGCTTTTTACTTGGTTTTTACTTGGGTTTTACATACTTTTGCATGTTTGAAAACTACCTCTATTTTACATGCTTTTTACTTGGTTTTTACATACTTTATGCATGGATTTACAGTGGATTCTTGTCTTAAAAGGCAGATTTATGGAGTTATGATATCACTATATTTTATATGTTTTTACTTAGTATTTATTTATGTTTTCAAGCGTTTTTCATAAGATCTTTTGCCTTTAGAAGTAGTTTTCTTGTATTTGTGGGATTTGAAGTCTTTATAGGTGAAATCATCAAAAAGGATGCAAAAAGAAGCAAAAGAGCCTAAAATCAAAGTCCATGCAAGTTTTAAGTCCAGAGCATCAGTTTATCTCCAAATGTTTGATTCTCGCTACCGAGTAGTAAAAAGAGGTCTTCCCGACGTCCAAAAGAGTGATCTTGATCTTGCCTGATAGATATTTGAGTCATGCATTGCGTAAAAGTTGATTCAAGACATTTGGATCAACCATCAGGGAGAAAATTATTTTCTACCGAGACATGTCTGGTTAGCGACCAAGTGAAGCCCATGAGGAAAATTGGAGCGTCCCACGGCCTGGACCACTGAGGAAAGGCCTGAGCTCGCTCAGGAAGAGGCCTAGCTAATGTTTGCAGTCTCCGTTGGCGAAATCCCATCACATCCATGACGTGAGAAAAGAGGCCCGGCTCATGGGAAACTTTTATTTTCTGGCACACCAAAACCCTAGGCGACTTTTATCCCATATATGCATGTTTTTAGCCGCTAAAGAAGAGATATCGGAGTGTGAAGAGAGTGCGACGTCAGAGAAAGAGATAAGCAGATCTAGGAAGCAGAAGGAAGTGGAGTCTCTCAAGATCCAAGCCGCACACGGATACACACACAATACTCTTTTACACTTTTCCTTTGCGTTTTATTGTTTTCTATTGGATCCAAGAGTTCAAGGAGATTCCGACCGATTCATCAATAGATAAGCTTCTTCTATCCCTTATCTCTTTAATACTTTCATGATGCTCTCAATCATCTCTTGTTTGTTTGATTGCACCATGGCCGCGTAGATCCTCTACCAGGCTATAGTAAATCAATGAGTGCATAGTTTGTCAATGTTAATCTTGTGAGTTGGGATAATCCTTTGAGTTCTTCACCTTTACTTGAGCATAATGCCGCTTGCTTTTCTGATCATCTAGCATCGGACCTTGGGTTAATATACTCTCCAAAAGCTTGTTATATTGCCGGAAATAGTATTTGGTGAGATTTACTTCATGACCAACAAAAGTTGAATTGTGAGCTATTGTGAACAATTAAATCTTGAACACTTTTAATGCATGTTTACAACTTGTAAAAACCATCGAAAGTTGAGTCTATTAGGTTGTTGAAACATAGTGGTTGGAGCCACAAAAGTGGAAAAATCATACCATAGCGATTTAAGTTCAAGAACGGTTTGTAATGAATCCCATTCACTTAATTTCTTGTTGATGAATTGTGTGTCTTTGCGATTTTCCAATTGCCTAATGTTCCTGTTACTGATTTTATTTACATTTCACTTGATATTTCTTTTAATATTGCAAATACCTCTCCACAATCTTACTTTTCTTTAGCTTGATTCAAACTCTTGTTCTTCGTAGTACAACCGATAGGTCCTTGTGGATTTGATCACATACTATACTTACCTCGTTGTTGTGCACTTGCAGGTACTTAGGTTGGGTAAAACTAGCTTGAAGCTAAACCCACAGCACATCAATTTTTTGGCGCCGTTGCCGGGGACCTTCTTGTCTACAAGATCAGACAAGGCGCATTTCATTTCATTTTTGTTATTCTACATATTTACTTGTTATTTGAATTGTTTTTGAGGTACAACCTTGAGCTCAGCTATGGCTCAAGAGGAACGTGACTAGCAGCCTCACCTTGGAGAAAATCACCTTGATGAGCCGCCTATAGTAGGAGTTCGAGACCACCTACCACAAGGAGGTTTAGAACCGGAGCCTAACCCAGCCGGTGTGCTGCATCAAGAAGACCAAAGCGGTCTTCAAGGAGGGCCGAACAAAGAGACTATTGGGTATAGTGACTCTAGACCAGAGTTTCTCCAGAGCCGTAGACCCATCCGGACACAAGAGGGCCAATAATTTGAGATTAAACCTCGGGTTATCGCTTTGGTGAAGCAAAGCCAATACCATAGCTTTCTTGAGGAGGACCCGTTGGATCATGTTGATTCTTTTGAAGAGATGTGCAGTACTATGAGTGCCAATGGAGTTCCAAGAGATTACTTGCGTTGCCTTCTCTTTACTTTCACTTTGGCGAAAAGAGCTCTTAAGTGGTTGAAGTCATTGCCATCTCACTCGATTACTACATGGATGGAGTTCAAGAAGGCTTTTCTTGGGCAGTTCTATACTAAAAAAGAGCAAGCTTGATGAGAAGCAAGATCATTGGTTTCCAAAAAGGCCCCATAGAGCCATATCATGAGGCCTTAGAGCGTTTCAAGGAATACACAAGAGATTTCCCACAACATGGTTTCTCGGATGTTAACCTATGGAACACCTTGTATGAGGGTATAAGCCGCAAATACAAGCTATGTATTGACATAGCTAGCAACGGGAACTTCATGAGAAAGTTCATTAAGGAGGCCAATACATTGATAGATAACCTCGCCACTATTGATAGCAAGAACCAGCCGAGCTACGCCGAGACCATCAAGGAAATCAATACAAGACCGGAGCCGACCGAGTTGGAAGAGCTTAAGTCCATGGTTGCTAAACTTTTGGAGAGACATCCATGGAATTACCCTGACCATCAAGCCTTTCATGAAGACTTGGAGCCCCGGTTTCATAGGAGAGATGTGAACTACATAAGCAAGCAGGAGTTCCCACACCAACCGAGATATCAACCGAGCTTCAAGAAGGATCATAAGGAGATTTTGTAGTATTGATCCATGAGTTCATCATTGAAAAAAGGAAGGCCAACAAGGAGATCAATGAGAAGATAAACTGTGTGTATCATGACCTAAACAACAAGTTTGCTTCACTTGAATCTCACATCAAGCGGCTTGACCTCTAAGTAGCCAATATAGCTGGATCGATCAAGAAGCCATTTGCAGTCCTTCCTGGCCAAACCGAGATGAATCCCAAGAAAGATCATATCGCCGTCATCACTCTTAGGAGTGGACATAGCTAGATGAAGTGAAGATGCCGCCGGAAGCCACAAGGAAGGAACCTCCACCGGAAATCATAGTGGAAAACTCGGAAGATACAAGCGACAAAGATAACCATGAAGAGCTTGAAGAGAATGTCATACCACCTCCTGCATCTCGGGTATTCAAGCCAAAGGTACCTGATATATCCATATCTTTCATGTTTTTATCAAGGTTTTCACTATGTTTTTAATACAAATAATGTGGTTTTTATGCCCAAGAGGTAGTTTTCTTGTATATTCTGGTTTTGAGCATCATTCAGGTCAAAATAGCAAAGAAGAGTCAAAATGGAGCAAAAGAGTCAAATCACCAAGTTCCCAAGTCTAGAGCACCAAAATCTACATTTCTCGCTAAAGACCAAACCGGAGCATCCGAAGTACGACCGCATATTCATGCCTTCCCGACGTCCAAAAGTCGATTCTTATATGGAAAGATAGATATTTGAGTCATGACCCGCGGCGAAGTGGAAAGAGGTCATTTGGATCACTCGTTGGACCGGAACTTATTTTCTACCAAGACATGTCCGACGAGCGCCTAAGTAGAGCCCATGGAGACTTTGATGGATCAAGAGGCCCGAGATACCGCGCCCAAGGCCTTGGCTCATCTTGACACTAGCATAACTCAATCCAGAAGCTTCCATTGGCCTGAACGGCCCATTCAAGAACTTGGAGAGCAAGCTCAAGCGGCTAAAGAGAAATGGAAACTTTCCTCTTCTGCGCGCGCTCAACTTTGCCGACCTAGACCCGCTCTCTACCTATATATACTTGCTTTTAGCCTCTTGTAATAAGAATCACCATCTATTATTCAATAAAGTTCGGAGCCACTTAGGTGGTCTCCTTCTTCTTTCTTTTCTTCTTTTGCATTTGTATATAGCTTGCATGTTTCAATTTATATAGTCTAGAAGTAGAGATTTCTCCCTAAGGAGGAGGCGGTTTAGTCATATTCCGCCGCCTCTCTCTCTAAGGATTCATGAGACTTCATCTACTATCTAAGACTCATTGTTGAATTATGGATCCTTCCAATGAGGACGTGATATAATGGCCTTCGAAAATCGATTGTTAAAAGGGGAAACCCTATGGTTCTCCATCTTTATTTATGCTTAATGCTTGTTGCTAGAGTAGCTAACTAGTGACTTGATTTTAGGTTGATATACTCTCCAAAAGCTTGTTATATCTCCGGATATAGTATTTGATGGGCAAATCGTTTTAGGCTACGAAAGTAGACCTAAAGAGTTTTGTGAACAATCATTACTTGGATGTAATGCATGTCTCACTCTACAATGACCAACGAAAGCTGAGCCCATTGGTTTAAGAGACATAGGGGATTGGAACCACGAAAGTGGAATAATCCTTCCTTAGTGTTTTGAGTTCAAAAGAATCGGATTTTAACAAACTTTTCAATCGACTTGGCTCATGTTTTCAAAAGAGTTTTCAATAGTTCAATAATGTTGCTTGTATAGAATTGCATTGTTATTTGCTTTTGCGTGTTTAACTCACAAACACAAACCCTTGCATCTTTTGATTTAGCTTAGTCATTTAAACTCTATGATTATGTAATGTGTGAAATCCAATCCCTTGTGGTTCGACCCCTAAATACTACAATTATATGTTGTGCACTTGCAACTCTAGTTGTCTTAGGGAATTATTACTTGTACTCATCCCATATGCCGCATCAGTACCTTTCCCTAGTGCCATGAAGAAGCCTAAGAAAGAGAAAGAGCAAGCAAAGTTAAGGGATCTTGTGAGCCAACTAAGTGTAAAGTCTCCCTTTTGTCGATGCTTGCATAATCATCCCATCTTTGAGGAAGTATATGAAAGGGTATCTTGCCTAGTAACCTGAGTTTGAAAGAAGGTGTGATGTTGATAACTGAAGATTGCAGCCGTGCTCTCCAAAACCAAAATCCCGGAGAAGCTATATGACCCGGGCAGGTTTGTTCTCTCATGTAATATCGGAGGCACAACATTTAAACGCAGTCTTTGTTACTTGGGGTCTAGTGTAAACTTGATGCCTTACATTGTGGCCAAACGTCTTGGGATACCAAGCTTTAGACCAACAAAGATTCAGTTTGTCTTTGCGGATCGATCGGTGAGGCGACCCGTTGGAGTGGTGACCGATGTTCAAGTGATGATTGAGGAGTGTTACATTCCGGCTGACTTTGTGGTGTTGAAGCTAGATCAAGAACCTAGAGATCCCCTGATCCTTGGGCGCCGTTTCTTAGCCACAGTCGGAGCTATCATTGATGTCACTTATGTTGGCCTAGGAGAAGAAGTCAAGAGAGCAAAAACCTCCAGAACCCTCCCAAGTCATCAAAAGAACCATGGATTGAACTAAGAGCACCTAAGGTCGAACTCAAAGAGCTCCTAATAGGGATAAGGTATGCATTTCTTGTCCCTAACAACACATACCCGGTAATCATCAATTCAAATTTAACTAATGTGGAGACTACCTTATTACTTTGCGAGCTCAGGAAACACCATAAAGCCCTTTGGTATACCCTTGAGGATATCACAAGCATTTCTCCTAATCTTTGTATGCACATGATACACCTTGAAGATGAGTCTACCTCATCTATAGAACATCAAAGGATGCTAAATCCCAACATAAAAAGATGTTGTAAAAGAAGGAGACAATGAAACTCTTGGAAGCCGGTATCATATACCCTATCTCGAATAGTACATGGGTAAACCATGTGCATGTGATCTCACAGAAAGGGGGAGTAACGGTGATAAAGAACGAAAATGAGGATCTGATCCCCACAAGAACAATCACCGACCACATGATGTGAATTGACTACCAGAAGCTTAATGCCGCAACTAGAAATGATCATTTCCCTCTCTCCTTTATAGATCAAATGTTGGAAAGGCTTGCTAACCACCCTTACTATTGTTTGCTAGATGGCTATTCAGGTTTATTTCAAATCCCAATCCATCCGGATGAACAAGAGAAGACGACATTTACATGTCCCTATGGCATATTTGCATATATGAGGATGCCCTTTGGACTATGCAATGCACCAGCTACTTTTCAAAGACGTATGATGTCAATCTTTACCCATCTCATAGAAGATAGAATGGAGGTGTTTATGGATGACTTTTCAGTTTATGGAACTCCTTTGATGCTTGTTTGTCAAATCTTAGCAGGGTCCTTAAAAGATGTGAAGAGAAACATCTTGTGCTCAATTGGGAAAAATGTCACTTCATGGTGAGAGAGGGGATAGTTCTTGGGCATAGGATCTCTGAGAAAGGGATTGAAGTGGATAAGGCCAAATAGAGGTGATGGTGAGCTTGGAACCACCCAAAAACGTCATGCTTCCTCAGGACGCCGGTTTCCATTGGAGATTCATTAAGGACTTCTCCAAGATTGCACACCCACTCACTCAACTTCTATGCAAGGATGTTGCATTTGAATTTAACAATGAGTGCCTTTTAGATTTCAAGAAGATCAAGGAGGCTCTCATTAGCGCACCAGTCCTACAATCACCGGATTGGGAACTTCCTTTGGAGATCATGTGCGACGCAAGCGACTTTGCCATTGGAGCCGTGCTTAGATAGAGAAAGGATAAGAAGCTTCATGTCATCTACTACGCAAGCCGGACCTTGTATGAAGCGCAATGCAACTATGCCACCACGGAGAAGGAGCTACTAGCCATAGTTTTTGCTTTTGAGAAGTTTCGGTCCTATCTTGTTGGTTCTAAGGTGATCGTTCATACCGACCATGCGGCTCTCAAGAATATTTTTTCCAAGAAGAATGCAAACCAAGCTTATAAGGTGGATCATTCTTTTACAAGAATTTGACTTGAAGATTGTTTATAGAAAAGGCGCGGAGAATAGTGTAGCCGATCATCTTTCAAGAATGAGGATTGAAGAGAGCTTGCCCATTGATAACTCGCTACCAGAAGAGAGAGTTTACTCCGTCAATGCAGTTCCAATCACTAGAGTACAAGCCGTGCCGCAACCCGTCCCAGAGAAAAGGAATTCCTTCGGCACACCTTGGTATCGCCAAATAGCCAACTATCTAGCAGTTGTATGTCCCTCCGCAATTCTATGGATACAAGAAGAAGAAGTTTCTGAAAAACATTAGGTTCTACTTCTGGGATGAGCCTTACCTCTACAAAAAAGTGCCAAGATGGGATGTTTAGAAAGTGTGTGCCGGAAGAAGAAGTTGAAGTTGCTGGAATCCTCCACGGCTGTCACGGTTCAGCCTACACCGGCCATTTTGCCACTTTCAAGACAGTCTCTATGGTCTTACAAGCCGGATTCTGGTGGCCTACAATGTTCAAGGATGCCCAAACATTCATCTCAAAATGTGATGCTTGCCAAAGAATGGGAAACATAAGCAAGAGGAACGAAATACGACAAGACTTCATTTTAGAAGTTGAGGTGTTTGATGTATGGGGGATTGACTTCGTGGGACCCTTTCCCACGTCTATTGGGGACCAATACATTCTTGTAGCAGTTGACTATGTGTCAAAATGGGTTGAAACCATAGCCGCTCAAACGAATGATTCTAGTGTGGTGATCAAAATGTTCAAGTCCAGTGGCGGACCTACATGAGAGGAAGGGTGGTCATATGACACCCATATAATAAATATATTTATAATTTGTATACATCAGTAATAACATAGCTAATTTGGTTGAAACCCTTCCCTTTGACACCCTTATCCCGGGTTCGAAACCCCTTACCTGTCACCTGCTTTGAATTTTTATTTAACTAAACTATATATTGACCCAGCTAAAAATATTTCCTAGTAGTGAGCAGAGGTTCCCACTTCAGTAACCAAGTATTTGCTAACTTACTCAAAAAGTATGGAGTTAGGCATAAGGTAGCAAGCTCTTATCACCCCAAACAATCGACCAAGTGGAGATCTCCAACAGAGAACTAAAGAGCATTCTACAAAAGAAAACCGGGAAGAATCGGAACGATTGGTCAGCCAAATTGGATGATTTTCTTTGGGCGTATCGGACAGCTTTTAAAACTCCTTTAGGGACAACCCCTTTTCACCTTGTTTATGGCAAGGCGTGCCATCTACCGGTAGAGCTTGAATACAAGGCATCTTGGGCTGTGAAGGAGCTTAACTTTTACCTCAAAACGGCAGCAGAGTTCAGTTGAATGAATTGGAGGAGGTAAGACACCTGGCCTATGAGAACACAAAGATCTACAAGAAATAGTGCCCAAATCCTTCGCTCCAAACTACCAGGTTTTGCTCTTTAACTCAAGACTTAAACTTTTTTTTCCCAGAAAGCTCTGCTCAAGATGGTCCGGCCCGTTTAAGATAAAAGAAATCAAGCCGTATGGAGCAGTAGTACTTTGGGAACCTAGTGGAGGAGACTTCACGGTCAATGGTCAAATACTCAAACCATACCTAGCTAGCACGGAAAAGGGTGTAGAAGAAATCATACCCTTGGCCGATGCACCACAAGCATAAGAAGAAAATGGAGTCAAGCTACATGACTTAAAACCAAGCGCTTTGTGGGAGGCAACCCACACGGTTTTAATTTCTATTTTTAATTTATATATTATCTTTATAAGTTTAGCTATCTATTTTAATTTTGCAGGAATTTTTAAAATTATATAAAAATACAAAAAAAATGTTTATTAGGATGAAGACCCCATTGGAAACAAATACATGAAAGTGTCCCATGCAAAGTTCCCACCCTTGAAAAAGGTGATTTCTCCACACCAGGTAAGTAACTTCTCCTAGTATATTAATTCACAACCATCCCTGATCTTAGTTTCATGAGCATTTGAATTTCATTGATAAATTTCATGGTATAAATGGCTTTACAATTTGATGGTTAATGAATGAAATACATCTTCACTTGTAAAAATCATATCATGCAATGAATTCACATACATTAAACTATAATTTGAAGTTTGGGATCACTAACCAAGACCCAAAAAGTGTTAATAGTTTATACTTTAATATCTTAGATTATGAACTTCAAGTTGGTTACTTGAGGATCTCAATCTAAGAAAACATTTGTTAGTGATTTCAAGTGATTTGCAAGAAGTTAAAACCTTTATACCATTGGCGGTTTAAAGAAGATATCAAAGGAGAGTCATACCAAACCAGAAGGAACAAAGCAGGAACCACTTGAGAATGATAAAGGCAGGATAGAAAATCGATGCGGTTAAAGAAAATCTCAATTGGCCCAAGTATATTTGAAGAAATCCTATCCGGTCCATTTCTCTCGGCCATGGCGAATGCAAAGGAGAACCACTCGATTTCGTATATGATGACGAGATCGGTGTCTTCTCGGGCTCGTGTGATGACGAGACCGCTCGATTTCGTATATGATGACGAGATCGGTGTCTTCTCGGGCTCGTGTGATGACGAGACCGCTCGATTTCGTATATGATGACGAGATCGGTGTCTTCTCGGGCTCGTGTGATGACGAGACCACTTGATTTCGTATATGATGACGAGATCAGTGTCTTCTCGGGCTCGTGTGATGACGAGACCGCTCGATTTCGTCCTTCAGTCCTCAGACCTTTCGGGCTCACCCCAAAGTCTGAAGGCATTCCCATCGGTTCGGACGCGACGGCTTGGCGTCGGCTTTTTTCTTTTTTTTTGTCAACAGCCTAAATTCCTACAACGGCTCGGGGAGCGATGTTGGTGGAATTGAGTTGATGTAGTACACATTATGAGGCTGATCTCGAGCACTCCGTGCTAGCTTGTCTGCCTTCGTGTTTTGTGATCTGGGGATGTATGTAAGGGAGAACGCCTGGAACATCCTTCTGCATTTCTCCATTTCTTCAAGCAAAATCTCAAAAGCTGGCCACTCTGCCGGTTTGGACACCATCTTCACCAGCTGAGCACAGTCCATTTGGAAATTCATCCGTAGTTTATTATGGGCTAACATAATTCGCGTCGGCTTACTCCTCATGGATGATCAGTCCGTATGTTTTTCTCGGATTCGCGCTTTGGCGAGACCGGTTTTATCGGGCTCGTGTGATGACGAGACCGCTCGATCTCGGATGACGAGATCGGTGTTTTCTCGGGCTCGTGTGATGACGAGAGGCAAATACAAAAGATAGAACGGTGAAATGTTCACAGTTCAGGAGATAGATCAAGAAGCCAAATCCGGCCGATGGAGGTTAAGCAAAATGGGCGACAAATCCAAATCACGGTATAGGCAAAACCACCGGCTGGAACACATTTTCTGGAGCATAACTAACAGATTTATGCAAGAAGAAACGGAAACGAATAAGCCAAACTTCACATAATCAAGAAAACTACTTCGTGGAGGCAAATTGACCATTTTGTGAAGGATCTCTCCATCCGCTCGTTTGAATGCTCTCAAACTTCACCAGAGGTCATGAAATACCAGGTTGCGATCAATATAGGTCAATATATTTGATGAGATTCTCCTAAGATCGTCACTCTTGAGTTTCAGACTTGGATAGATTTGGCTTGTTAAGGCCGTGATGATGGAGTGAGATAAATGGTTGAATGGTTTGAACAGAGACTTGCGGAAGAATATCTATACACCGGCTTAAACAACTTGAGGATATTACGCACCAAAAGAAGAGTAAGGATTTTGATGGATATTACACACCAACAAGATTTGATCTTTGCATAAAAAGGATTTGATTAAAATGAAAGATGAGTTTCAGGAATGAGAGTACAAGAGAATATAAAGAGAAGGGAAGGGAAAGAAGATGAAGAGACTACTCTTGGAAGAAGCTCCAAGACAGTCTTGAAAATGAAAACAGAATTTAAACATAGTTTGAACATAAAATGACCCTTGAACTTCACAGCCATGCCTTGGACTATTTCACATGATGGGCTTGGGTCTTGATCCAATAAAAGGAGGATTTGAAAGTGCTACTTAAGCCTCATTAAAAACCTTATAAGGAAAATCCAATGGGACAAAACATTAGAAGGGAAAAAGAGTGCAAAAACATCACTTGTCCTTTTACCGAATATCTTGGGCTGTTATCAATACCAAAATGGTTGGGATAACCTCATTCTTGTCCTGGCCCAAGTGGCTAAGTATCAAACCAATGGTCTGGTTGAGTACTTAGTGCGAAATCGAGTCATTGGACCCATTGGTCCGGCCAAAGCTTCCTCTGCTACAAACTTTCCTTCCTTTGGTTCATGCTGTCCCTCATGCTCCTTGTCCATGACCTCGGCCATAGTCATATCATCCCCTCTCTCTTGAAAAATATGTGACTTCAAATCTGAATCATCTGCAAGAAAAGGAGAAAGATCAGAAATATTAAAACTAGGACTTATATTGTACTTACCTTGGAGATCAAGCTGGTATAAGTTGTCATTGATCCGTTTGGTTATGGTGAATGGTCCATCAATCCTTGGCATCAACTTGGACTTTCTTTCTATTGGAAACCGTTCCTTCCGTTGTGAACCCACACTTGGTCGCCAACATCGAAGATAACACTTCGGTGGCCCTTGTTGGCTTGCTCCACATACTTCTTGGTTTTCTCTTCAATGTTTTTCCGAGCACTCTTGTGAATCTGTTACACCAACTCTGCTTTCTTCTTTCCATCTATGCTAGATCTTTCACTCAAAGGCAAAGGCTCAAATCCAAAATAGAGGTGGGATTGAAACCATAAATTTAAACAATTTGAAATGGAGAGAACTTAGAAGCAGAATGTACAGTATGATTGTATGCAAACTCTATATGCGGCAAACATTCTTCCCAAGTTCTAAGGTTCTTTTTGATCAATGTGCGCAAGAGAGTGCCTAAGGTTCTATTAACCACTTCAGTTTTCGGATGACAAGTAGTAGAGAACAGCAATTTAGTACCAAGTTTAGACCACAATGTTTTCCAGAAATAGCTCAGAAACTTGGTGTCTCTATCAGACACAATAGTCCTAGGCATGCCATGCAAACGAACAACCTCTTTAAAGAACAACTCAGCTACATGAGATGCATCATAAGTCGTATGACATACTATGAAATGCGCCAATTTAGAGAACCTATCAACAACCAAAAAGATTGAATCCTTTCCAGTTCTAGTCCTAGGCAATTGAAGGACGAAATCCATTGATATATCAGTCTAGGGATGAGAAAGGATAGGAAAGGGAGTATACAAACCATTCGTCTGAACCTTAGACTTAGCCTGTTTACATGTACACATCTACCACATATGCGTTCGGCATCTCTCACCATGTGCGGCCAACGGAAGTGATCTCTCATCACCTCAAGAGTTTTGGCCACGCCAAAATGTCCCATAAGGCCTCTTCCATGTGCTTCCCTGACAAATAAATCTCGACGAGAGCAGTTAGGCACACGCAAGCGGTTCTCATAGAAGAGAAACCCATCTTGTCTATGATACCGATCAGAAGAAAACTTAGAACATGATCGATAAATCTCTGCAAAGTCAGAATCAGTTTCATATAGTTCTTTAATCTTCTCAAAACCTAAAAGCTTACAATCAAGAGTAGAGATTAGAGTGTACCTTTGGGATAATGCATCATCAACTAAATTATCCTTACCTTTCTTGTACTTGATGACATATGGAACTGTCTCAATGAACTCAACCCTTCTGGCATGTCTCTTGTTGAGTTTCTGCTGACCTTTAAGGTGTTAAGGGATTCATGGTCAGTGTATATGAAAAAATCCTTCTGCCACAAGTAATGTTGCCATGTTTGCAAGGCCTTGACCGAGGCATAAAGCTCTTTGTCATATGTTGGGTAGTTCAATGTGGCGCTTCCAAATTTCTCACTGAAAGAAAGCTACTGGTTACTTGTCCTGCATCAAGACAGCTCCAATCCCAATACCTGAGACATCACACTCAATTTCAAAAGTTTTAAGAAAATCAGATAAGATCAAAACAGGGGCGTTAGTAAGTCTGTCTTTGAGCGCCTGGAAAGCATCCTCTTGAGCCTTTTCCAACTTGAATCCAGTGTCTTTCCTGATGATTTCTGTAAATGGTGTGGCCAAGGTGCTGAAATCCTTAACAAATCTCCGATAGAACCAGGCTAAGCCTTGGAAGCTCTTGATTTCTCCAACAGTCTTAGGACCCGGCCAATCTCTAATGGCTTTAACCTTCTCTTCGTCCACCTTAACTCCATCTTCACTCACAACAAAGCCTAAGAAGACAAGGTTATCTGTGCAGAAGGTGCACTTCTTGAGGTTAGCAAAAAGTTTCTCTTATCTAAGCACATGCAAGACAGATTCAAGATGATCAATATGCTCAGCCAAACTCTTGCTATAAAACAGATTGTCATTAAAATAAACCACAATAGAGTGACCAATGAATGCTCTAAGGGCATTGTTCATTAACCGCATGAATGTACTAGGAGCATTAGTGAGACCAAATGGCATAACAAGCCACTCATATAGACAATGCTTAGTTTTAAATGCGGTTTTCCATTCATCACCTTCTTTAATCCTAATCTGATTATAACCACTCTTAATATCAATCTTAGAAAAGATACTAGAACCATGCAATTCATCAAGCATATCATCAAGTCTAAGAATGGGATGGCGATACTTTACAGTGATATTGTTGATTGCCCGACAATCAACACACATGCGCCAGCTACCATCTCTCTTTGGCACCAGCAAGACCGGGACAGCACAAGGGCTCAAGATCTCTCCGCTATGGCCTTTTTCCATGAGCTCATCAACTTGGCGTTGTACTTCTTTTGTTTTGACCGGATTGGTGCGGTATGCTGGACGGTTTAGGAGTGTGGCTCCTGGAAAAAAATCAATCTGATGTTCAATGCCACGAACAGGAGGCAAACCTGTGGGATTATCCTTTGGAAAGATATCCTTAAAGTCCTGCAAAAGATCAGACATCTCACTCGGCACAACCTGTGCAAGGTGATATACCTCTATTTTACATGCTTTTTATATGGTTTTCCTATACTTTATACACAGTTTTCTAGTGGATTCCTGTCTTAAAAGGTTGTTTTTATGGAGTTATAGTGCAAAGAGTCATTTTAGGTCAAAATGTGCATTATAGAGCAAAACACAGGAAAAGGACTTCAAACCAGTTCCGTTATCGCATCATCTACTTTGGGAAGAGCTTAAAAGTAATCTACTAAATGGAATTCATCAAGACCACTTCGCCACTTGCCCTGAGTGAATTAACTCTCCAACGCAAGTAGATTCACATCATTTGGATGAGTAGAAATTGAGTTATGATCGATTTAGTGAAGACTGGTCCAAATGGCTGAAACCGCGCAGCAACACTAAGCAGCGCCCAAGACCGTGCGCAATGGCCGACCAAGGAACTATCGTCCCATGATCGACCCGTGCAGAACACCACATCCGTCCCACATAGTGCACAGCCGAGTGATGCAAGCTGGGTTTGTCTTCAAGTTTTACCCAACTTAAATACCTGCAAGTGCACAGCAACGAGGTAAGTATAGTATGGGATCGAATCCACAAGGACCTATCGATTGTGCTACAAGAGTAAGAGTTGAAGCGAGCTAAAGCAAAATATGATTGAGGTGAGGCTTTGACAATGTTAATGAATGGAAAATAAATGAAATCAATATGGGGAAACACTAGGCAGTGGCAAATCGCAGAAATGCATAAATCAAGAACAAGAAATCAAGCGAGAGGGATTCATTCTAAACCGTTCTTTTGAGCAAAAGGAAAACAAGTAAGCATGAGGAATGCATACGTCTGTACCTTCATGTCTTATGGAATACCTTATTTAAAACAAGGAACAAGCTAAAGACTTATCCTGTGTTGATAGAGGGGTCGATAGAAAAAATAAAATGATATTTTAGAAAATTAGGGAAAAATCGACCCTTCAAAAGATCTAGATGTGAGAAAGAAAGAGGAAAAGAACTCAATGTACTTCAAAGACTATCTTGGAGGAGATCAAGTGGGTAAGAACAAGTGCTTAATGATCGATATTCCCTTGATAAAGAACTCACGTTTTAAATTTATGCAAGAGGTTAGCAATAGAGAGTTTGGATTGCTGGATGAGACTAGTTGAGTTGGTATTGTTCGCTAAACTTGCAGGGTGTATGTGAAGCTAACCTTATGTTACCTATGTTCTTAGTGGAATACATGAAAGGAACCCTTCACAGGATATTCAAAGAGGCAAGGGAGTTTCCACGTTCTCAAACCTCTTTCACGGATTTAGATTTTGTTTGCTTGGGGACAAGCAAAGATCTAAGTATGGGGGAGTTGATATACCTCTATTTTACATGATTTTTATACTATTTTAGTATGGTTTTCTAATGGTTTTTAGCAGGTTTTCTATCTAAAAATGTAGTTTTATTGGATTTATAGTACTAAGAGTCTAAACAGGTGAAATGATGCATTTTGGAGCAAAACCATAGGATTTGCACTTCAACCCGCTCCATACCGAAGTATCAACTTTGAGAAGGTCTGAAAAATAATCTACTCAATGGATTTCATCAAGACCACTTCGCCCGTGCTCTGAGTGAGTTAACTTTCCAACGCAAGTGGATTGGCATCATTTGGATGAGTAGAAATGAAGTTATGATCAAATTAGTGAAGACTGGTCCAGACGGCTAAACCGAGAAAAAGCGTTCAAACCGCGCGTATCGGCCGACCGAGGAACTATCGTCCCACGATCGACCCGCGTCCGGACACTTCATCTGTCCGCCTAGTGCACGGCCGAGCTCACGTACCGACCCGGGAGGCAACAACCCACGATCGACCCGTCCAGGTCTCGCCACCATAAGCCGCGCACGACCGCACTGCACGAACAGGGAGGCATCACCTCACGACCGTGCAACACAACCCGTGTCACACGCACGAGCGTACCGTCCGACCAGGAAGGCATCGTCTCTCGTTCGGCCAAATCATTCAAGCCTTTATCATCCGTCCGGCCGAACCCAACGACCGAACGAGAAATCCCTCGGCCACGATCGACCTGATTGTAGCGATGGCCGATCATGACCCGATAGCCGGCCGGACGAACGTCCCGACCGTCTGTCCAAACGGTCCGGTCGACCTGAAGCCTGTTTTGAAGCCTGTTTCACACGTTTTCACGGCCCGACTGAACCTAATGCTGTTTCTGAAGACCTAGTACTATAAATACAGCTTTTTAGCCTCTTGAGAGAGCTAGTGTTTCTTAGACTGCGAAAGTTGATTTACTTAACCTAGTGAACTGTATCGGAACCCGCTCAATCTTATGCTTGATTTAATCACCTAGAGACATACCAAAAGTTTAACGACTAGGTAGATTAACAAAGGAACCGGAGCCTCGAAAGTGAAAAAGTTTTATATTTGTGATCTGTGTTCTAGACGGTTTTAATATTTCAATATCCCTACACCAATTCATCTATCATTGTTTCATTGATCATTGCTTGCTTCTCTGCGATTAGCCCCTGTTGACCTAGCATTTCTTCCCACTGAATTCACACCTCGTTTTCTTGCTAGTTTTAGTTACAATTACAACCTCTCAATCATACTTTTGTTTTAACTTGATCCAAAATTCATAGTTTCAAAGTGTACTAAATAGTCAGTCCTTGTGTTCGATACCCATACTTCCGTAATCTGTGCACTTGCAGAGGTCTAAAGAGTTTGGTAAAACCTGACTCAGATCACAATATCCAGCAGGTTTGGTCATCATCGGGAGTGAGACCGACTTCCGGGAGTATTGTGATATCTGCTATTCAGGCCGAGCAGTTGTTAGAGCGGGGCTGTGAGGCGTATCTGGCGACGATTTCTATGTCTGAGTCAGGAGCTGGAGTTGTTATGGGAGATATTGAGGTTGTCCAGGATTTTGAGGATGTCTTTCAGTCACTGAAGGGATTACCACCATCTCGGTCTGATCCTTTCACGATTGAGTTAGAGCCGGGGACAGCACCGATATCGAAGACGCCTTACAGGATGGCGCCAGCTGAGTTGGCAGAGCTGAAGAAGCAGATAGAGGACCTTTTGTCTAAGGGGTTCATTCGACCAAGTGTTTCACCGTGGGGAGCACCGGTGTTGTTTGTGAAGAAGAAGGATGGAGTTTCAGACTTTGTATCGATTACAGAGGTCTTAACCGAGTCACTGTGAAGAACAGGTACCCACTCCCGAGGATTGATGAGTTGTTGGATCAGTTGAGGGGTGCTACTTGGTTCTCCAAGATTGACTTGGCATCGGGGTATCATCAGATCCCGATAGATGAGGCAGATGTCAGGAAGACTGCTTTCAGGACGCGTTATGGGCATTTTGAGTTTGTGGTTATGCCTTTCGGTTTGACTAACGCGCCGGCAGCCTTCATGAGATTGATGAACGACGTGTTCAGGGAGTATTTGGACGTGTTCGTCATCATTTTCATTGATGACATATTCTGGTATACTCGAGGAGTCAGGAGGAGCATGCGACTCACTTGAGGTTGGTTCTGGAGAAGCTTCGGGAGCAGAAGCTTTTTGCTAAGTTGAGCAAGTGCAGTTTCTGGCAGCGAGAGATGGGATTTCTTGGCCACATTGTTTCTGCAGAGGGAGTTTCTGTGGATCCGGCTAAGATTGAGGCTATCAGAGATTGGCCTAGACCTAGTAGTGCCACCGAGATCAGGAGTTTTCTGGGTTTGGCAGGATACTACAGGAGGTTCGTCAAGGGGTTTGCTACCATGGCGCAGCCGATGACGAAGTTGACCGGGAAGGATGTCCCGTTTGTTTGGTCAGCTGAGTGTGAGGAGAGCTTTAGTCAGCTCAAGGAGATGTTGACTACTACACCAGTGTTGGCGTTACCCGAGCCAGGGAAGCCTTACATGGTGTATACAGATGCTTCAGGCATTGGTCTTGGTTGTGTGCTGATGCAGGAGGGCAGAGTGATAGCATATGCTTCGAGACAGTGGCAGGGCAGTGAGCGTAACCGTCCTACACATGACTTAGAGTTGGGAGCAGTGATCTTCGCGTTGAAGATTTGGAGGTCTTACTTGCTAGGTGAGACAGTACAGGTCTTCACGGATCACAAGAGTTTGCAGCATATCTTCACTCAGCCGATGATGAACGCGAGACAGACGCGCTGGGTTGAGTTCTTGGCGGACTATCAGGTGAGCATTAACTACCATCCGGGCAAGGCTAACCTAGTGGCGGACGCGTTGAGTAGACGGAGGTATGATTCCGCAGTTGAGCGAGATGTGGAGTCTCTAGTTGGCGAGATCAGTACCTTGCGTTTGTGTGCCATTTCGCAGGAGCCTTTGGGTTTAGAGGCAGTGGATCAGGCGGATCTACTTAGCAGGATCAGAGTTGCTCAGCAGAGTGATCAGAGTTTGCTGGATGCGACGAGAGTGACTGGTTCTGAGTATGAGGTCTCTGCGAATGGGACTATCTTGGTTCGTGGGCGAGTTTGTGTGCCTAAGGATGTGGAGTTGAGACATCAGATTTTGGGAGAGGCTCACGAGCAAGTTTTCCATTCATCCGGGAGCGACCAAGATGTACCATGACCTCAAGAGGTACTATCATTGGGTCGGGATGAAGAGGGATGTAGCAGACTGGGTTGCGAAGTGCAACACTTGTGCCTTGGTGAAGGCAGAGCATCAGGTTCCGGGTGGTCTTTTGCAGAGTTTACCCATTCCAGAGTGGAAGTGGGACAGGATTACGATGGATTTCGTGGTTGGACTACCTGTTTCGAGGACTTTCGATGCTATCTGGGTGATTGTGGATCGGTTGACTAAGTCGCACATTTCTTGGCCATCAAGAAGACAGATGGAGCTGCTGTCTTGGCTAGGAAGTTTGTGCGAGAGATTGTGAGGCTGCATGGAGTGCCAGCTAGTATTGTGTCAGACCGTGATCCCAGATTCACTTCAGAGTTTTGGAGGGCGTTTCAGGCAGAGATGGGCACTAAGGTGCATCTGAGTACAGCTTATCATCCGCAGACAGATGGTCAGTCAGAGAGGACTATTCAGACTTTGGAGGATTTGCTGAGGATGTGTGTGTTGGATTGGGGTGGCCATTGGGCAGATCACCTGAGCTTAGTTGAGTTTGCATACAACAACAGCTTTCAGGCGAGTATTGGCATGGCTCCATTTGAGGCTTTGTATGGGAGGCCATGTAGGACACCCCTATGCTGGACCCAAGTGGGGGAGCGCAGCATGTATGGAGCTACTTATGTTCAGGAGACGACAGAGAAGGTTCGTGTTGTGAGGCTGAACATGAAGGAGGCTCAGGATAGGCAGAAGAGTTATGCAGATAGACGCAGACGAGAGCTTGAGTTTCAGGTTGGAGATAGAGTTTATCTCAAGATGGCTATGTTGAGGGGTCCTAACAGATCCATAGCAGAGAACAAGCTGAGTCCGCGATTTATGGGTCCGTTTCCAGTAGTGGAGCGAGTTGGGCCATTGGCTTACAGGCTGGAGTTGCCTGAGATTATGAAAGCCTTTCACAAGGTTTTTCATGTGTCGATGCTGAGGAAGTGTCTTCACCCTACAGAGGAGTTAGTGGCTAGGATTCCAGAGGATCTTCAGCCAGATTTGACAGTGCCGGCATGAGGATTTTAGAGAGGAGGGAAAAGGTTCTGAGGAACAAGAGGATTCCCTTACTGAGGATTTTGTGGGATTGCAGTGGTTCTACAGAGGAGACTTGGGAGCCAGAGGCAAAGATGAAGTTGAAGTTCAGGAAGTGGTTCGACAAGCAGGTCGAGGAGTGAGCTTATTTCATCTTTGTAGCCTCAGTTGTTATTTTTGGCTTTGGTGTTATTGTATTTTCGTTTTCGTTGTAACGATATACATTTTGGAGTTTTAATGAGATGCGCGCAGTATTTGACCAGTGTTTTAATGATGTTTCGGTGATTTCTGTATTAATTATGTGTTTCTATGTGATTTGTTGATATCTCCGTCGACCTGACGGACGTGCATCGGACGACACAAAGCTTTGCGTCTCGGTTGATGCAAATGGTCCGCGTCAGGCGACGTAAAGCTTGCGTCGGTCGACGCAGCCGGTTTAGTCTGATTCAATTGAAAATTGATTTCTAATTTAATTTAAGTAATTTCTGGTTTAAATCTGGAAAATTTGGTTTAAATTCAGATTTTATTAATTAAAGGGTATTTAATTAATTAAGTGGCTTGAAATAATTATTTAAATTATTTTAAAATACGGAAAATTATTATTTAATTAGGAGAATTATTTAATAATTTAGAAATGAAGTTTTAATCACTGAGAATTATTTAATAATGGAGAAATAATATATTAATAATTATCGAATTTATAATAATTATTTTAAATGCTAGTAAACTCTGTAAATTACTTGTAGGCAGGATGATTACCTCACTAAAAATTTATTAAAAACTTACGTAACTCCATTCTAATGTATTGCAGATAAAAGATTTGTGTGATCGCGAAATCAAAACTGAAGAGGAAATGATAGGATTTAATGTCTTATAAAACCCTATATAATAAGCTTAATGTTCAAAAGGTTTAATTTTATAATTTCATATCTTATATTCTCTTTCTCTAATTTAGGCTAAAAAAAATCATTTCTTCGAAAGTTGTTTTTTTTAGGTTCTAACTATCAGTCTTTTATAAGAAAAGAAAGAAAGAACGTAGATTAAAAGTATCGGACAAAGTTTCTGCCGTACTCCTTTTCAAAAGTTTCGACTCCAAACTCTATGATGATCAAGAAATTGACAATTTGTCAATATTATTAGTTATTGAAATATATCTTATTATATAAATGTTTACTACGAAATCAAAGAATCTTATCTTATTTATTGAATTCTTATTGGGTTCTCAACATTATTTTATCTACTTACTAATAATATTTTGTTTAATATATTTTTATAGTTTGTTTTAAATTTTTTTAAAATAACCTTGTGTGTACGTGGAAACTTAACTAGTGTATTATAAATTAATATTATAAAGAGAGATTTTTGTGAGTTAAAGAGATAGAGACAGGAGAACATATATGTTTCTTCTTATTGAGATTGTTATTACAAAAATACAGAAAGCCCCCTATTTATATTACTTTGGAGTCGGCTAAGTATAATTCGTGAAAATAATTATTAAAATAAATATAATGGATAAGCATTATTCATTTATTTACTTTTTTGGTCAAACGATTGTATTAAAATAGCATATGTTTTACCTCTTAAACAGAAGAGCCAATAACAGACGACAGTGCCGCTTTTGCAATTGTATCAGCAGCTAAATTACTTGAACGAGGGACAAAATAAAAGTGAATAGCATCAAAGGAAAAGGAAGACTCCTCTGAGCTCAACCGTAATTTCCTTCAACTTGATGAGGGCAATAAACGTCTGACAGTCTGAAAAGACATTCAACGCTTTGAAATCTCTAGCTGAGACATTTATAATGAGAATATTATATTTAGAGGCACTTTTTGAGTTTGTAGTTATAAGAAGGACTTCTTGAAAATGGTGGACTTTGTCCACCTGAATTTACACAGATACCCCTTTTTTCTTTAACTTTTACGATCATTGGTTTTCACATTTATCCATCATCCTTTTTTACTCATTTCTCTCTCTCCAGAATCTTCTTCTTGTACCTTTGCTCTTAAACTCTAACTAGGGTTGGACTCGCGTCCTGCATAGGGTGATATTTTTTTATTTAGTTTTATTATAAGATATCATTTTACATAAATATCATTCTAAAAACATAGGGTGTTAGACAATAAAAAAAATGTTAGTTTATATTAGACAAAATTATGAGTGATGTATATTATTTTAACCTGGACTGGAATATGACGAAATATTAAGTGATACAGTTGAATCCATATATATATCAAATTTTAATAAGTTTGAAATAGTTTTATATTTTGATAAATATAAAATGGCATATATATTTAATGTTTTTGATCAATTTTAAATAATTAAAATAATTGAACTTATATATTAAGTTATTAGATTTTATTATATTATGTTAAAAATTTGGATCAAACTATGATATAAAAAAATAAGATTTAATTATTTAATTCAATTAAAGAACCAAATTAAATCAAACTAAAAAAAAATAAAGTTTGGACACCTAATAAATCAGTTTTCCTACTTATGGTTGATCACTATTTGGACCCTTTTTTATAATAGGTTTTTGATGTATCATGCCAAAATATAATCGATGTAGGACTTTTAACAGTTAGATATTTGCTTCATTTTAAAAATTTCAAATCATAGCATATGCAAAAAAAACCAATTTTGTTATATTAAATATTGTTATGTAATGATCTAATTTATTTTTGAAAATTAAAGTTAAACATAAATGATAGGAGAATAAATTGATTTTTAAACAATTAATATAATACAATTGAATAAAACTTTCCATATTTTACTGATTGATTGACTATTAAATATTTTTAAATTTATTTACAATTTTCGTCACTACCAAATAAAGAAATAAGGAAATAGGAAGAAAATAATTCTAATTAATAATTATTTTTCTGATTAAATTAATAATGATATTTCATTCTCTTATTAAATATGAATGTCATAATATGTAATTAGGTGGTTGTCCCGCACCTTGTGCGGGTACAATTCTTTTTAAATAAATTAATTAATTAAAGAATTTAACAATATAAGTAGTAGAATTTTTTGATTATATACATTTTTTGTTTTCGCCAACTTCTTATTTCTGTAATTTTGATGTATTTTATTTTTGTCTTCTCTTTCTCGTTCTTTTATATAATATTCTTATTCGTTTAGAGAGATACAAAAGATTTTCCACTTCTTATTTTGTTCTCTTTTATTCTTCTCCAATTATCTCACCTTCTTATGTTTCTTTCAATTTTCGTTCTCATCACCTTTTAAACTTTCTTCTTCCAATTTTTGTTCTTCAATCTTTTCTTATATCTTCATATCTTCCAGCTCACTATTCTTCTTTTTTTCTTTCTAATTTTCTTTACATTTTTCCGGTTTTTCTTCTTCCTCATTCCCCCTCTCTCTATCTTTATCATCTTCTTATTCTCTAACATCATATTATTCTAGTTTTTAGTTATCTCTTTTTTGTCATTTTTTTTCCTTCACATTTCATTTTTTCTTCTTTGATTTCTTTTTCCTCATATTCGAGTTTTCTTCTTCTTCTCCATTCGTTTAAAGAGATACAAAAGATTTCTCACTTCTTATTTTGTTCTCTTTTATTCTTCTCCAATGATCTCACATTCTTCTTTTTCTTTCAATTTTATATTCGTTCTCATCATCTTTTTATTTTTCTTCTTCCAATTTTTGTTATTCAATCTTTTCTTATATCTTCATATCTTCCAGCTCACTATTCTTCTTTTTCTTTTTAATTTTCTTTACATTCTTTTTTTCGGTTTTCTTCTTCCTGATTCCCCCTTTTTCTATCCTTATCATCTTCGTCTTCTCTAACATCATATTTTTCTATTTTTTATTTATCTCTTCTTTGTCTTTTATTTCTTCACATTTCATTTTTTCTTTTTTTATTTCTTTTTCCTCAAGTTCGAGTTTTTTTACTGTCTTCTTTTCTTTTGTGTTTTTATTCGTTCTTGTCTACGTCTTGTAATTCATCTGATAGTTTATATTTTCATGGATTTATGAAATAGTTTTTATCTTTATATAGTCGAGATCTTTTAAAAATCTATTGGTTTTGTTATATTTCCATTCTGGATTTGCTTTAATTTTTCTATTTGTGAATGTAATTTAGAAAGTTGAATATAAATTTATAAACAATGATTTTTAATTATGATATTCTTCCATTCAAATGTTTAAAAATGCACCAAAAACTAAACCTTATACCCATCAGTATAAACCCTACATCCTAAACCCAAGACCCACAGTGTAACACCACCCCCCTAAATAACCCTACACCCAAACCCACAGTATAACAACCCCCTCCCCCACCCTCCCCCCCCAAAAGGCCAAAAGCAACCCTGCACCCTAAACCTAAATCCCACATTATAATTTCCCCCTCCCCTAACCGCACATCCGAACCCCACATTTTACAAATTGGTTCTAGATTTGCTTTTATTTTTATTTCTAACTTCTTTTTAAAGTTTTTTTTGTTTTTTTAATCGGTAATGTATTGTATTCAGAATTTTTCAAGCGCATCAAAAACTAAACCTTACGCCAATCAATATAAACCGTACATCATAAACTCAAACCCCATACTATCTTCTTCTTTTACTTCTTTCATAATTTTTTCCTTCATTTTATACTTTTTTTTGTTATTCTTATCAAACTTTCTATTCTCTTTTTATTTTCCTCTCCTTTCATCATCATCTATTTATTTCCTGATTTTTATTCGTTTTCTTCCTTTTATTTACAATTTGTTTTTCATTTGGCTTTGTTTTCTTATTCTTCATTTTTTTATCTTTTGATTTTTCCAGCTTCTTTGTTGTTCACATATTCTTCAATTATTTTCTTCTTCTGTTTTTTTTCGTCTTCGTCTTCCAACTTTCGTCTTTTCCTTATTATTATTCAGGGTTTTCTTCTTATTTCATATCCGATTAATGGTCTAGTTTGGGATTTATTTTATTTTTGCTAATTTGGTGTAATTGTTGTTGTTGTTGTACAAAATTTTCAAAATATATTTTAAAAATTCGCAATGTTATTTATTAATCGATATGATTTTGAAAAAAAAAAAAGTAGTTGTTTAGCTATTTCCTTTATCATTAATTTTTATCAAGAACTAAAGATTTGAAAAACGCACAAAAAACTAAACGTTACACCCACCAATATAAACCCTAACCCTACAATAAACACCCTCATCCATACAATACACCATAACCACATAGTAGACAACTCTTTTTAATTTTAAATAAATCTTTTTTTTTGCTTAATTTGTTGTAATTGTTGTTGTACAAAAATTCACATGATATTTTAAAAATACGAAATGTTTTTATTAAATCGAGATGATTTGAACAAAGATTAAACAGTTTAGTTGTTTAACTATTTTCTTTATCCTTTAAATTTTTCAAGAACTAAGGATTTTATAAACGCACAAAAAACTAAACCCTACATTCTAAATCATAACCCTAAAATAACCCCCCCTATTCATACAGTACACCATAACCAGATAGTAGACAACTCTTTTTAATTTTAAATAGATCTTCTTTTTTTCTTAATTTGTTGTAATTGTTGTTGTTGTACAAAAATTCATATGATATTTTAAGAATACACAATTTTTTTATTTAATCGATATGATTTGAACAAAAGATTAAACAATTTAGTTGTTTAACTATTTCCTTTATCCTTTAAATTTTAAAAGCGCACAAAAAAAAACTAAACCTTACACTCACCAATATAAACCCTACCTTCTAAATCCTAACCCTACAATAACCTCCTCCCCCTTTCCATCCGTACAGCATAAACACATAATAGACAATGCTTGTCAATTTTAATGATTTTTTTTTGCTTAAATTGAGGTTTTCTCCACCTTGTTTAATGAATTTTTAAAATATTATTTTGGTTTAATCTTCATCGTAAATAATGTGGCTTAATTTGGTGTTTTCTCCGCCTTTTCTAATCTTCAACTGGTTACAATTTAGTACATAAATCTTTTAATCACTATTACATTAAGCAATCAACTGATACATACTAAATCGAACTATGAAACTCTATGATGGATCCAAATCTAAAATCGCAAATCTTATTAGATACCTTTATTAAAATTAGGGTTTCATGAGCTTTAAGTTTTGTTCAAACAGAAAAGATGCATATACCCTTTATTTCTTGGGTAAAACTGTTTATCCTTGGTACCATATCTGATCTTTGTGATTCCATTAGCTACCAAAGCATGTATTGACTATTTCAAAAGTGAGAGAAATAAAATTTAGATGCGGATGTTTTGATAAAACTTGCAGTAAAATAATGAATAAGCAGTAAATCAATAGTTCTAAACTTCTAATAGAACTAAGGTCTAGTATAACCAATTAACATATGAAATTATACAATTAACATAATATAGTAGTTAGGGTTTTTATCTTTTAATATTTTAATGAATAAATAAATTCGTGAATTATTTTTTGAAAAACAGAAAAACATTATATCTTTTTAAAATAAATAGTTTAATTTGAAAAGAATAATTTCTATAAATTTTTGGCGTTACACAAATCAAATGATAAAAAGAAGGAAATTTTGAAGATTTAATCTAGATTTTCATTAAGGATATGTGGGTAATCAACCAGCTGAGATTGAATGTGGTGGCTCTAAACGAAATTTTCACTTCACAAATAATATATTAGATTACTCTAGTAAAAAGAGCCTTATTCTAAGAAGACCCTGAGAGTGTTGCAAATTACGAACACCTCACCAAAGTCTTCTCTTTTAATATATAAGGGATTCTACCACCAGAAAATTTGACAACTCTCTTGAATTTTGGGTATTTGATATGGTTTTCTCCTTTTTAAAACAATCAAAAAACTTAATGGTAATTTTAATATATTTTCATGTATGGTTTAGCTTTATATATACCATGAACGATCCCAATTTTGAAGAATATGAGGTTTCAGTTCTTATGAGTATTCAATGACTTTGGTTTAATACAATCTATTGATTTGATGAAAATTGTGGGCATATGGATGAATTATGAACTCTGAATGTTTATAGAACCAATAACAGCTATAATCAAACTTCTTTAAGTTTGTTCAGTTTCTAAAAAAGGAACAAGAAGAAATGACGAAGATAAAGACAACAACTTTCAACTATTATTTTATTTTGGTTTCTGGGTTTATGCATTGGAGATGGCGGCGTCGAGTCGGAGTCGGCGACGGCGTCGAGTCAAAGTCCGCAAAGCAACAGACAAATGCAGCTTACAGTATTCTTTAATCATGTAAATCCACCATTATAGAGGATCCATCGGATGTTCTTAAGACATGATTGGTGAAGATGTTTGTTCTTACAAATGAGTTTTCTGTTCTGTTTCCTCTATATTCGCCATATGAAACAATACTTTATGAAATCACGACTTACAAAATCGACACTTTATGAAATAGAACCACATGTTCAAATGATTATAAAACCCATCCACAAGTCAAAATTCGTCCAAAAACATTCATCCAAGAAGAGATAAACTTTTCCCTTACATCATACAATTTCGAAGATTGGATGGGAATCAAACATGGACAAAAAGTTTCAGCTTCTCAGTCAAACACCAAAGACCAACATTGCAGTCGTCGGAGTTCAAATTGCGCCACAAACTTTGGTTTTATGTGTATACATCCAAACGTACAAACATAAACTATCCACAATGTAAATGGTGGATTTTTATGAAAGCGTACAAGCAAAATATATCTAAGCGTACACATCTCTTTATTGTCCAAACACACAATTTACTCCAACAAAACGCAACTTCCAGATCCATGTCCAAAATTAAAGAAACAAACTTGTACAAATAATAGGGGATATCTCATTGCAAGTTAGGCCTGGGCATAATGGGTACTCGGTTCGGTTCCGGGTCGGTTCTTTCGTTTCCCGGTCTTATGGTTATTTTAATTATTTATCCAAATAGGACCCGCTACTATTTCGGATCGGTTTCGGGTCGGTTCCTTTCGGTTCCGGGTCTAACGGGTCTTGTACAAAAATAACTGTAAATTATCCAAGAAACTGCGGATACTCGTCGGTTTCGGGTATTAAACGGGTATTTTTACCCGTTTGTACCCGTTTTAACTTGATTTTACCCGGATTTATCACTTTTGAACTGCAAAAATTCAAATAAACTTCATTAGATTTTAATAAGTTAGAACCACACAATACAAGTTTGAATTTTGAACTTTCAAATATTCAAGCATTTAAGGTTTAAAACACCAAAGAGACAAAAACAATACATAAGTTTCAAAATTAAGAAACAAAGTAGACAAGTCGGATCTAAATGGGTACCCACGGGTAAACGGGTAATAACCGGAACCGACCCGAGACTCGTGGGTATAGAAGAAAAATAACTAACAGGTGATTTAGGCCTAAACGGATACTACCCGGAATCGATTTTTTCGGGTCGGTCGGGTCCTTCGGATCGGTTTTTATGCCCAGGCCTATTGCAAGTCATGTGATACAATCGCATTCCCATGATGTTCCGATATTTATGTTGGATCGATTTCAAACGGTATGCTGTCGCCAGATATAAATCAAACTCTTTTTGTGTGCAAATCTGGATCCAAAACAAACATGTCATCATTTCTGAAATTTCTGATGATGAATTCAAAATCTGCGATGAAACATGTGGCTGGGAAAAAAATTAACTCTTGTTTTTTTCATCCATTTTCATTAAGGGTAAAGTTGTAATCTTGGCATGCCACCACAAAGTGCACCCATGAGAAAAAGTCACTCTTTATGTATGTTGAAACTTAAAACTTAAAAGTAAATCACTCAATTTATAATAGACAATTCATTGTACTACAGAAAATTCTCTAAATTCAGCAGAAAGTATGTTACCAGTTATGGCTTATGCGGAGACCCTTTTTTTTTTGTTAAAGAAAGTATCTTGTGCAAGAGTTTTCGTTTTTCCTACAATTCATCATCATTCAATAGGAAAGTTTGTGGAAACATTTACGTCTATTTCAATTTTACTAACTACAACCACAGTATCACTATTCCGTAATACTTAGATTAACAGTGTAATTCTTAACAAAACAGAAAAGAGGATCAACTTTTTTATTCAACTTATAATGATTTAAGTACTTTCGACATTTTTTCGAGATAAGGTTGAAAATCTTAAGCAAACACTGAATTCTGGTTCTTCGTAAAATATCAAAAATCAGAGATGGCAAAAACCACAAGCAGAATCAAAACAAAGTCTACAGAAACTTGAGGAACTGAAGATATAAAAACAAGAACCAGATGCATAAACAAAACCACCTTCCTTGGAGCTTTCTCAATTCTCCTGCATTATGATTCAAATCCAACATACACAGTTAGCTGCACATCACTTTTCATATAAAGTATAATAGCTTTTTAAGTAGTTATGGAAAGGATTCCTGAAACTTACATATCTTGTTGAAGGCAACAATGTCACAGCTCTGGACGTATTCATTGATCGGTTCAACAGTGAGTTGCTCTTCAATCATGGTGTCGATAGACACAAGGTCATCAACAATGGTGCACATGATCTGCAACTTCTTGATACCGTAACCAACAGGGACAAGCTTTGATGCTCCCCAAAACAAACCTTCCTGCTGAATGGACCTTACAGCTTCCTCTAGTTTCTTCATGTCGGTCTCATCATCCCATGGCTTGATGTCGATCAATACTGATGACTTACCAGCTAACAAAGAAGAGAAAAAAAAACCAAGATCAGAGATCAAAACATCTTCATATATCGTAAACTACAAGTGTAGAGCAAAACTAGAAACTTACATTCCTTCTTCTTTGTAGATGCCTTGGCAGAAGCTGCTCTTTCTTCAGCAGCTTTCTTCTCCTCTTCCGTCTCCTCGCCGAAAAGGTCAACATCATCATCATCTTCTTCATCAGCAGCATCCTACAATAAAACATATTCTTCTATGAGTCTTAACAGATTTATAATCACAAGACACATATTACGAGATAGAGAATAGAAACGATCTGAAAGTACCTTAGAGTCAGCTGCAGGTGGAGTAGCAACAGCCTCTTCTGTGATTGGGACTGATCCCTCAACAATGACACCACTTCCTTCGGCAGAGACACCACTGGAAATAGAGAGACACACATCAGATGAATCCAAAAACAAAACCGTAAATAAGTAGAAAACAGAAAGAGTGAGCTTACGAGATCCTCAAGAGAGCATCGATGTGGCTGTACCAACGAGATGCATTCACATACTGCGAAGTTGGAGCCTTTGCAAGAGCACCAAAGACGGTGATATCATCCTTTGAAGCCTGGTATCTGTCAACAATACACAAAGGCAAAACTAGTTGTTACTTCAATTCTTCAAAAAGGTTAGAGATTTCGAAATTTACACATGTAGGGATCTTACCCGGTGATGTAACTGCGAGTGAGAAGATGCTCGTCGAGCTTCTTCAATCCAGCATCAGAGTTAAGGTTGGAGAAAGACGCCATTATTGTCTGAAGCTTGAACCTTTTTCACTGATATATAAAGTAGATCAGAACAGATTTACCACTAAAACCACAACGACTCAGCAAAAACGAAACTTTCTTATTGATAAAAGCTAGAAAACACAAAATATCAATTCAGGTTCGTAATCACCAAGAATTTCTTAGATATAAATATATAAAGTTTGAATTTCCAATCACCTAATGATACGATTATAAACAATTGAACTACCGAGAGAAATCAAGATCGAATAAGTAACCTGAGCTAAAAATAATCGAAATCGAAGAAGATACATACCTGAGGCTAAAGAGTGCCGATTTGAAGAGGAATAGCGAGGGGTGTAGTGAAGGTATGCACGCGGAGTATATAGGGAACCCTAGGTTTTCTCTCTAATGGGCCTATTTTTGGGCCTAATTGAATCCTCAGGAAATAATCAAATATCAGAATTGTCCGTCAATTCGAAAAAGGAAAAAAAGTATTAGGGGTTCAGCGCTTAGTTAAGAGTTAGAACCTGTGTTCAAAACGGCGATAACCGCAAAAACCGGCCGAGATAACGTGAACCGAACTGATTTCATCTTATCAGCTCAATAACCGGTCAACTGTTGTTTGACCGCGAAAATGAGAAAACCGGCCGAGAAACAATTAAATCGTTTGGGCCAAATTGTTTTATTTTGATATTCAAGCCCATTTGTTTCTTAACTGAGCCCACATTCGATTTTTTTCTTCCTGAATCCGACTTACAACTTCCAATTACGAAATCGATTTGGGAATCAGTTCCATTTGCATACCCTAATCCCGATTTCAGTCAAATAACACACCCCAGATCGAAAAATTCTGAAGAAGAAATCACTTTGACTAGAGTTCTTTTACGGTTTTCCCAAAACCAGAGGATTCTCGAAGCGAATTTGAGGTAACCATTTATCTAACTTGTGCTTTTTCGATTTCGTGATGTTTTGTTGTTTTACAAGTTCATGTTTTAGACTTGAGTTTATCCTCTTCTTGGTGTCTTTATGTCTTACTGTAATTAACTAATTATGTCTTGGAAGTGTTCTGAAACCTTAGATGGAGGAAAAGAAACTAGAGATAGCATTAGTTTGCTTATGTGATTTCTTAGTTCTTCTTCTTCACTTACGATAGGTAAAGTTGTCACATATGTTGTATTGTTGTCTGATTCTTTCGTTGCTTGATGGTATTGGTATCATAGTTATGTCTTCTTCTTTGTTTTGGTCTTTTTCTTAGGTAATGTTTTAGATTTGAGATTTGTCTCATGCTTGGTTTTATTCTTTTTCTTAGAAAATGTTATAGCTTTCTTAAATATTAGTGTTCTTAAATGATTTGTAAGTACTTAAAGAACGAGAGTGTATGTGTTATTGTGTTGCTGTTGTTAGGAAAAGAGAAATCAGAGAGAGTATAGAGGAAAAGAAATCGGAGAGAGTATTAGCTTTCTTAGCTAATTTTGGTCGGCTAGTGAGCATGTTTTATTGTTTTGTTTGTCTCGGGTTAAGTACTTGTGTAGAGCGAATGTATGTATTATTGTGTTGATGTTGTTAGAACAAGAGAAATCAGAGAGAGTATAGAGGAAAAGAAATCAGAGAGAGTATTAGACTATTAGCTTTCTTAGCTAATTTTGTTGCTTGGCTTTATACTATATGGTTAGTGAACATGTTTTATGCTTTTGTTTGTCAGGTTTAAAGGATTGAATGGAAAATCCACCAACAGAGGAGGGTCCTCCACCAATTACGTAGGGGAATTCGGATGATGTAAGAGGGGAATACGGCTTTATCTTCAATGCTAGGACTCCAAGCAAGCTAAGATGCAAGCTTTGTGGGAAAGAAGTTTATGGTGGTGTCACCAGAATGAAGGAGCATATAGCTCAGGTGAAGGGAAATGTTGCTCGTTGTCCACGGTCAACTAAAGAAGATCAGGAGAAGTGTATGAAAGGGATCATGAAACCGAAAACTAAGAAGATTAATAAGAGGAAGAGTGAGGAAGCGTTGAGGGCATAGGTCAATATAGGCAAGGACCACATAATCGATGAGCTTCAAAGAGAGCTTGGATCTATGAGAGAGCCTCACTTTCAAGGGCCTATGGATAAATTTGCAAGGTCAATTAACCCTGAAGCTTCTGTGGCTGGACGACGGCAACAGAGCATCAATGATGCTATCTGGAAGGAGAAATCACATGTTGTTCGTCAGTACTGTGCTCGTTGAATCTACAACTTGTTCTGTGAAGCCTTAGGACAGTTTGGACCTGGGTGGAAGCCTCCTAGTCAATATCAGTTGGGAGAGCCGTTGCTAAATGAAGAGCGAGAGAAGACAAAGGAAAAGCTGAAAGGTCTAGAAGAAGAATCACTACAAGAAACACGTCAAGTAACGTCCCTTTAATTACGTCACTTATCAAACCATCGTTAAGATTTTTGAAAGGAAGGAAAATAACGTCGGTTTAGTGAACCGAGTTTATATTTTGCATCACTATTTGCTTACTTTGATTATTTACAACGTGTAATTGGATTTTAGACAAAAGCCTAGTTTTTCACAAAAGCCCAGTTGTTCTTCTCATTTCCAGTTCCGAAATTGGAAATTGATTTCGCGATTCCAAACAGATTTGATCAATTTTCAAATTCTCCAAAAGTTCTCTCTAGCTTATTGTCTACATTTCAATGGCATAAAATCTCGATTTATAGTCGTATCTCTCTCAAAGCTCGACTGTGAAGATTTGAACGGTATGATTTTTATGAGAAAATTGATTTGATTAAGATATTAAGGTCTAACAATTAAAATTTTTGGGCATCGAAGGTTTGTCAAATTTTATGGCGGAGATAATCGATCATCACACCAGTGTCATCACAAGCTTCTTCTATCAGGTACCACATCTCTTCACCAGCTCGATTTTGGTTTTTTCTTCGATAGAATTTTTTTGAGAAATTTAATTTGATTAAGATCAAATTTCTGGGCTTCGAAGGTTTATCAAAGTTTCTGGGGGAGATAATCGATCATCACACCAGTGTCATCATAAGCTTCTTCTATCATGTACCAAATCTCTTCACCAGCTCGATTTTGGTTTGTTTTTGAAAATTTTGGGTTGTGCTTGGTTTGTGCTTCGTGAGTGTATCGTTTGTGCGTTGTGCTTCATAGTTTAAAGCTAGTGCCATAGATGAATGCTAGTGCCATAGATGAATGCTATCACTCACCATGTTTATGCTTGTTCTGTATTTCATTATGAATGATATCATACTTGAATTTAGAATTTCATTTAGAACTCTTCCATATACGTTCTAAAAAATCATATGCTGCTTTTATATGTGCATTGATGATGTGTTAAACTGATTATGAAGTATATTACATAAGTGTTATATGAAACAAATCTATATTTTGCGTGATATGATAATGAATTGGGTTTTAGTTAAGATACTCAAGTATCTTTGAAACTCACATAAGTGAGTTTCCTTTTTATCTAACAAGTTATAATATTGTGTCTTTAATTTGAGTTATAGGTGGGTATGGATAAGTCATGGATAACAAAATCTCGTTTGACTCAAGACTATAGAATTGGAGTAGAGGGTTTTTTAGATTTTTCCTTTGGGAAAATCAAGGCAGACATGTTGAAATGTCCATGTCAACGTTGTTCTCTTGCCAAATTCAAGTCCAGAGTTGACATTGAAGGTGATCTGATGCTTCATGGTTTTCTCTCCACGTATACAAACTGGTATCTACACGGTGAAGACTTAGAGGACACTCGACAAGCTTTTAGTTTAGATCATCAACCAAATGTCAATCAGAGTGATAGCTCGACCTTCATTGATAGCTCGACCTTCAATTTACTAGCTGATATTTTCCCAAGTATGAAGTCACACCCTCCTAACATAGATTCAGACCCTCCTAACATAGATTCAGACCCTCCGAATATCAAGATGGAATCTGATGACTTACATGAGGATCCTTTGAAGGAAAAGAAGGCATTTGATGAGTTGCTATCAGATTGTAGTCAGGCTCTTTACGAAGGTTGCCAGTCATTCAGCAAGTTAACTTTTATGCTCAAGTTGTATCACATCAAGTGTCTTTCTCGGATAAGCGGTAATGGTATGTCTATGATAATCAATCTTCTAAAAGAAGCTTTTGAGCATGCAAGATTTCCAGATTCGTTCAGTGATATGAAGAAAACAATTCGCAAATTAGGGTTGACATATCTGACAATCCATGTGTGCCCTAATGATTGTATGTTGTATTGGGGAGAAGACTCATCTAGAGAAAAATGCAAAGTTTGTGAAAATTCAAGGTGGAAAGCATCAAGAATAAAAGAAGGTGACACAATGGAAAAAACGAAGAAGAAGAAGAAGAAGAAGAAGCAACAAGCTGCTAAAATCCTTAGGTATTTTCCTCTTAAACCACGTTTGCAGCGTTTGTTTATGTCATCAAAAACTGCTCAACATATGAGATGGCATGCTGAATCTGAGAATAAAGATGGTAAACTGAGACATCCTCGAGATGGAATGTCTTAGAAGACTTTTGACCAGCAGTTTCCTGAGTTTTCAGCAGAACCAAGAAATGTTCGGTTAGGATTAGCTACAGATTGTTTCAACCCATTTGGTACAATGAGTACAAAATATAGTGTTTGGCCTGTTTTTTTGTTTCCTTACAACTTCCCTCCATGGATGGCAATGAAACAAACTTCACTGATCCTTTCAATGGTCATTCCGGGAAGACACATGTCAGGTAATGATATTGATGTGTATCTCCAGCCTCTTATTCAATAACTAAAAGATTTATGGTCTGAAGGCGTGTCTACTTTCGATGCTTCACTAAAGGAGACATTTTGTATGAAGGCAGCTTTATTATGGACTGTTAGTGATTTTCCAGGACTTGGAAATCCGTCCGGTTGGAATGTACATACAGGTTTAGCATGTCCTTCTTGTAGTTTTGATGCCACTCAACAACGTCTTAACCATGGAAAAAAGTTTTGCTTTATAGGGCATCGTCGTTTTCTTCCTCAAGACCATAAGTTTAGAAAGGATAAGCAACATTTCAATGGTTTTATAGAATCTAAGGCCTCCTCCGATCAGACCATCAAGCTTTGCTATTTCCCAGCAAATGGAGAATATAGATATCACTTTGGGGAAGAAAGTTGATCACAGTGGAAGAAAGCGAGGTCGACAGAGTGAAGAAGTACATCAATGGAGAAAGAAGTGCATATTCTTTGAATTACCATACTGTAAACATCTCCTCTTGAGGAATAATCTCGATGTTATGCATATAGAGAAGAATGTCTTGGATAATCTATTGTTTACATTACTTGATGACAAAGGTAAATCCAAAGATAATCTGAATGCAAGAAAGGATCTTCAAGAACTTGGGATACGCTCTGAACTGTGGCCTGATGTGAGTGGTAGATTTCTTCCAGCGTGTTTCACAATGACCAATTGTGAAAAGGATAGTTTTCTTAAAATTTTGAAGAGTGTGAAGCTACCATATGGATTTTCTTCGAACATTTCTAGTTGTGTTGATCTGAATAACCGAAAAATGGTGAATTTAAAGAGTCATGATTGCCACATCTTAATGGGTCAGCTGTTATCTGTTGCTATACGTAATGTCACATTACCTCGAGAGGTATCATTTGTTGTAACTGAGTTGTGTCATTTCTTTTGGGAAATATCCTCCAAAGTACTTGATCTGAATTATCTCGATAAGTTGCAAGAGCATATTGCTCTCACATTGTGCCATTTAGAGATGGTGTTTCCTCCTTCTTTTTTCACGGTAATGGTGCACTTGACCATTCATTTGACTGAAGAAGTTAAACTAGAAGGACCAATTCAATTTCAATGGATGTATCCAGTCGAAAGGTATGATCTTATTCTTAATATCATGTGTTACTTAGTTAGAGCATTATAATGTATTAAATATCTTTAATTGTTATAGGATGCTTGGACATCTCAAAACATATGTTAGAAACAGAGCAAAGCCTGAAGGTTCTATATGTGAGCAGTTCATTGCAGAAGAGTGTTTAACTTTCAGCTCCATGTATCTTGAAGTGATAGAGACAAGATTTAATCGTGTTGAGAGAGTGGATGATCGTGGAGATCCAATAGTTGAGCATAGCTTAGGTTCAAATTCACAGATTCCTTTGATTTTTCCTTCGGTTGGGAGATTTGTTGGTGCTTCTACGATGGATACTCTTAGTTATTTAGAGTGGCAGCAGGCACACCGATATATCTTATTCAATTGTCCATTCTTAGATGAATATCGCGAGTAAGTATGTTCCACTTTAATTCTTATTCAATTGTCCATTCTTAGATGTATATATTGATAGATTTCTTATTTCTTGGAATAATATATAGGAGATTCAAGAATGAGTTGAGAAGATCACAGTTTAGACGCCGAAAGAGAGGCAGTATTATAGATATTGATCGACATGTGCATCTCTATTTTGGTAAATGGCTGAAAGAAAGGATTGAGAAAAATGATATCAAAGGTTTATCTAGTGATATTCATTGTCTTGCCCAGGGTCCTTCTGATAAGTGTTAAAGTTTACTGCATTTAATGTTAATAGATGCAAATTCAGAACTCTAGAAAGAGATCAAGACTTAAGAACTCAGAATAGTGGAGTGTTTGTCTCTGGCTGAAACTATTAGTTATGCAAGTTCTAGTGATCTTTAACCCAAGAGCTGGAAATGTTTCTTATTATGGGAAACTAGTTGAGATTATTGAATTGAACTATTATGACTCTTTTAGAGTTGTATTATTCAAATGCAAATGGGCTAATACTTGTGATTCTAGAGGGTATAAGAAGGATGACTTTGGTCATGAAGTTGTGAATTTTTCTCGGCCAATACATACTGGGGACGGTGAGGAAGATGAACCGTATATATTGGCTTCTCAAGCAAGATTAGTATATTATGTGGACGATCCACAAGAAGAATGATGGAGTGTTGTAGTACGGGTCTAACCAAGAGACTTTTATGATATGGGTGATCCTGAGGCTTCAAGTGATGTATCTCAAAATATTGAAGATTCTCCTGCTTGAAGTACATGTTGATTAGGATAATATTCCTAATATTACACTAGTAAGACAGGTTGAGAATCTTGATGATCCGAGTGTTTTAGATTCTAATATGGAGGTATTTTATTAGATCCGAGTTTTTGTATGATACTTGATTGTGTGTTGTGTGTCTTGAATGTTTCTTTGTATGTTGGTAATTAGTGAGTATCATCAGTGAATATTTTATTTACTCTCATGAATGTTTCATTTTCATTTTAGATGTAATCATGTCTCAATAGAATGAAGATGTCTTTTCTCCACCTCTTCTCGGACAAGAATTAGCGTGTGGAAAATGGAAGGTTCATGTTATAGGTAAAAATGATTGAATTATGCTTCATTTATCTATGGATATGAGATGTTCTTAAAATTGACATGGTTATGGTTGTAGATGATGATGGAAAGATTACAGAAGAAAATATTTCTGGAAAGCAAGTTTGGAGTATGAAAAATCGTCGAGTTATGGTTGATTATAATAGGAGAGGACAACTTATAAAGGATTCAGGAGGGTTATTAGGTTCCTGGTTAGGTTCCTTGAGCTGCGATCTAAACATCTTACCAATTAACTACACTGATTGGAGGAAAGTTCCTGCATACAGGAAGGATATGGCCTGGAAAGTGATTCAGGTATTCAAGTTAACAATTTTCTTTACGAGGTTTTCATTCGTCTGTATTTTAACTAATAATGTTTTATTTGAATACAGAAAAAGTTTTGGTTTGATAATCCTATTAAAAGGAGAAAATATGTGATATCAACTTTAGGAGCGAGATGTAAAGACTTGAAGCGACGTCTGTGGAAGAAGTATAGGAGAAATACGCATTTTGGTCATGAGCATTCAGGACGTGTTCGATTCATAGGCCATGGTCCAACGCCGTCTAAATACTTCTCAAGTTTGGACTCTACATCAGTTAACATGGAGATGGTTGAGTTTAAGTTATTAGTGAAGAGTTTCGTTGGCAAAGTTGATATTGTTGCAAGTGCTCTTCAAGTTTTGATTGAATCCAGATGCAAATTTCAAGTAAGTGAATGCTTTTCTTCAAGCTTGGTTTTAACAATGCTTTTCTTCAAGCTTGGCATTCTTAAGCTGTTACTTTTCTACAGGTGTCTGAGACAGATGAAAACAAGCTTGACATTCTTAAGCAAGCTCAGAACATATCTAAGGTAACAATATTTTCACAGTGAGCAGAAGCAGAAGCATCTGATTGAATAACTTATCATTCATATAACTGTGAATTGAATTTGCATCTAATTTTAGGCAGAAGCAGCTCTCTGAGACCTTGAGAAAGAGTGAAAGAGTACAAAGAAAGTCGGTGAAGAGTTAGAGTATAAAGAAAGTCTATGAAGAGTTATTATCTGAAGAATTCTCATACGTATGGATACATTATTGTACTTGTATTGGGATTATTGGTTTCAGTTGAAGTGCATAACATATTGGTTTTAATAACAGATTGGTTTCAGTTTAAGAACATAACATACTTGGTTTTGTTTTAATAACAAGTTGGTTTAAGTTTGAGAAAGTAACATATTGATTTTAATAACAGGTCAAATTGGTTTCAGGTTTAACTGACTTTAAAAGATGAAGTATACGTCGGTTGTACAACTGACTTTAAAAAGTTTATCTTTTGGGTCAGATGATAACCGTCGTTAAGTCACATGATAAGTGACGCCAAAATTTTGACGCTAATATACACGTCGGTGTTTGAAGTGAAGCTAAACCATTTAGCGTCATACATTAAGACGACGGTTATCAAACCGAAGCTATACTTTTTAAGTCGGTTTATTACCGACGTCAAACTCTACATAACCGACGTTACTTTCCGTGTTTGTTGTAGTGAATGAATTAAAGAAGGTTGTTCAGTGATGACAGACGATAGTGAACTTGTGTATCAATTCAAGAGGAGGTACATGTTTCCTGTCTTCAAAGGATGCTTCTAAAGATGCTCACACGGGTGAGTATATCTTCCAATACATTGACAAATGTATTGAGGAAATAGGAGCTGATAAGGTGGTTCAAGCCGTGATAGATAATGCCACCAATAACGTTTCAGCTACAAGATTGCTTAGACAGAAGAGGCCAAATATCTTCTGGTCTAGTTGTGCTGCTCACACAGTGGATCTCATGCTTGAAGGGATTTCCAAGCTACCAGGATAAACTATGCTCATTGATCAGGCAAAGACTCTGACCATCTTTTGTATATGCTCATCATAAGACCTTGGACATGATGAGAGCATATATAAAGCAGAAGGATATAGTGAGACCAGGAGCAACTCGATTTGCTACTTGTTTCTTAACACTTAGTAGCCTCTATGAGATGAAGGCGCAGCTCAAGAACATGTTTAGTAGTGATGAGTGGATGTTTATAAGCATTCGAAGAGTGTCAAAGGTAAAGCTTCTTGTGATTCGGTGATGAATAATGCGTTCTGGAGCAGTATGAAAGTTGTTTTGAAAGTGTTCAGCCCATTAGTGAAAGTTCTAAGGCTGGCACATGGAGAAAGGATTCATTCTCTTGGGTTTATTTATGGTGAGATTCTATCAGCGAAAGAGTCTATCAAGGAAGCCACAGAGCATGCTGAGAGGAGTTATGAACCTATATTGAAGATTGTTGAGGAGAAAATGAAAAGTCGATTAGACACACCTCTACACATTACTGCATACTTCCTTAATCCTTTCTACTTTTACAAAGACCCGGATTTATATAACAATGAAGTTATGCAAACATTCATTGCTTGTGTAGAGACATTCTACCATAGAGACTTTGAGAAGCAGAACTTAGTTGTCAACCGTGAAGTTAATCTTTACAAGAGCAAAAGTGGTTCTTTTGGCTGCACTTTGGCAAGAAAAGGATGTGAAAAGAAAGATGAAAATTTTGATCCAGGTTTGTCTCTGTTTTTAGCTTTGTAGTTTGTATTAGTCTTTATTTGGTCTATATTCTTTACGGCCTTATCCCTTTGTCACATACTCACTTGTGAAATCACAGGGAATTGGTGGGCAACTTATGGCTGCGAAATGCCACATTTGAGAAGGCTTGCGACTAGGATCCTTGCTTTAACATCTAGCTCTTCTGGTTGTGAAAGAAATTGGAGCTGCTTTGGAGCGGTTAGCTTTTAATTATCTTTACTTTGTTTCAGTTGCTGTTTTTCATTGCACTCTCTTTAACAATTGTCTTAATTTGCAGATTCACACGAAGGATATAGACAGGCTTAACAGTCTCGCCTATGTTCAATTCAATGCCAGATTGTTCAAGAAGCAAAAAAAAAATCAAAGAAAGTAAATGTGATGTGATCTTTGATGAGGGAAATGACGATACAGTTGAAGATTGGCTTCTCGATCGCAATGAAGAGGTAGATGAAGATGTTCCTTTGGTGCCAACTTCACAAGCTCCACAGGCCAGAGTTCTGTATGATGATGATTTCGAATCCGATGAAGAGGAAGGTGGAGGCATGGAGTTTCAATCAGATTACTATCCTGAAGATCCTGTGTTTCGCGACCTACCATTCGCTTAGCATAACCCATAAGGTAAACTTTATTGCTCTTGTCTTAGTGTCTTTCTGTTTGTGTTTGGTTATGTGACATAAGTCTTTTAAAATTTGTCTTGCTCTGTTTTGCTGTATTTGTTATGAATGTAACTTGCTTATCTTTAATTACTTCGTGAATATAGTTTCAAAAACGGAATGCATCTCTTTCTGTTATTAGGACATGAACAATTGCTTGAACACATATTAAGACATGAACCAAATGTTTATCACACTCTCTGGTTTTGTTTTGTCTTTAGTTCACTTATTGAATTCAATATTTAACATCCCCTTTTGATTTTTTTTCAGGTTTGCTTTATCTATTTCTAAATCCACTACACCTTGATTCAAATTGACTACTTGATCACAGAAGAACATAAGGATAAGGATGAAGAATTATATATTATCATCTCTTATATATTTTTGTATGTTCTTAAAAATGATCAAGACAATCTCTCTTTTGTAATATTTGTGAGTGGAACTACTATTTTTGTATTAGAAATGTTTGTGAATTGCTAAAAATCATAAATGATAAGTGTTTTGTAGTATATATATATAATTTTTAAATATATTAAAATAAACTTAAAATTTATCCCCCGTAAATCCCAAAATTATTAGCGGTTTTCTCAAATATCGCGTATCGCTGCCCGACATAACGGTAAGCAATAAGCGAGATTTTGAACATAGGTTAGAACACATGTAATAGATAGCCTCGACACTGAATCATTGGAGATAACTAGGTATTTTACTCGCGCTACGCATGGGTTTCATTTTTATATATATTTTTATAAAATATTTATGAATTTTTTAATTTTCAGGTACTTTAAAAAGTTCATCAATACCAAAGCTTTACAACTTTTATTTTTTCTTTTTAATATTTAATTTTTTTTTCTTTTATAATTATAATTTCTTTATATTTTTAATTTTAATAAATTATTTTATAATCAGTCAAAATAATAAATGGAGTTTCATAATGATAATATCTGATTTCTTTACCAAAAAAAAAATGATAATTTCTGATTAAAAACATATTACAAAACTTTCTTACATTTTCTCGTAAGGCATAGAGGTCCGGTCATTGGAGAAGTTACATTCAAGTTTATCTTCCTAGCATGATCATGGTGATTATGGTAAACCGATTCTTATTCTTCATTTGTTTATTTATCTTCGGTCTATTCTCATTTTATTCATCTTTTTTCTTCTTCTTTGGTTTCTTCTTCATCTTTACTCTTCTTCTTAAGTTTTTTCGTCCTTACGGTTTATTATTCTATTATTATGTATGCTTCATTTATTTTTTGTCTTCATTATTTGATATCTTCGTCTTCCTACTTATTCTTTGTGTTCAGTTATTGTTCTTCTGTTTTTTCTATAATTAGTTTAAACGGTCAAAGTTGCTAGAGTTTTACTATACATATATTATTTTTTTTAGCTTCTTTTTTTCTGAATTTTTATCCGCTGCAAATTTTTCATGACTTTATCCATTTCATAAATAAACTTATTGTAATCTCTTTAGTTTAATCTTATGTAGGATAAAATTTTCACTATCTTATACACTTGACTAAACTTAAAAAATGAAAAAGATTCATAGAAACAAACAGTATAAATATAACTATATATTCACACATGTAATAAGAAATGTCTAACAATAGTATAAATATTTCAATTTACATGATATAGTTAAGCATAACTTTTAATTTTATATTGGTTTCTGATTTAACTTTATCTTTTTTTTTTTTTTTTTTTTTTTTTTTTTTTTTTTTGCTATCTTTGTCTTCATTTTTCTTTCTTTACTTCTTTTTCTTTTTGCTTTTCTTGGTTCTTAATGATGTGATTTATGTTACGTCATTAACAATGTTTACGTGTTTTGCCAATTTGAATGATATTTTTTGTTGGAACTAAATTATAATTTTGTTGATAGCGTTAGTAGTTTAATTTCTTTTGAAGTATATGTTGATTTTCGTATTATATTTTTCAATATTAATATGAATATTAATATGAAGTTAACAATTTTTTTTTTGGTTCTAAATCTTTTATATTATTAATTGAGAAGTGTACATGAAAAATTTATGACCAAAAACCTAATCTAATTATGAAGAGAAAGTGTTTGACAACAGATTTAATGAGGGTCAATTTAGTACATTGTAATGTTTGGATACAAGAATAAGAGAAAAAGCTATTTGGATAGAAAAATAAATGGAAAAAAATTGTTTGGATACGAGAATAATAACTTAAAACAAATCAATGGTTTAGAAAATTTCCGTTTTCCAGCTCTTAAAAATCTACAAAAAAAAAACTTAACATAATCTAACGATAATACCAAATCAATAGAATATGATTTTGGATTTTCGGGTTTAAAATTTTTTTTTTTTAATTTAATTCGGGTTCAATTCAGGTTTTTTAAAGTTTTTTTTTGGTTTTTGGGTTTAGTGATATAAAAGTCGTTCAAGTTTTTTAAATTTCTGAATCGGTTTGGTTTGGGTTTTCTAAACAAGTTCGGGTTTGGGTGAAAATCCCAGACCTAATTTTATAGATATATAGAGATATAGAAATTGTTCGGGTTTTTTTGAAAATTTATGTTCGGTTTGAGTTCGAGTTTTTTTGGGTTCAGTTCAGGTTTTCCGGATTTTTTGGATTTCGGGTTTTCAGATTTAGACATATTAAAAAACTTTGGGTATTTTAAAATTTTGATTAGGGTTTTTAGGTCGGGTTAGGGTTTCGGGTCAAAAAATTTAGAGTTTTTATTTATTCGGTTCAGAGTTTTCGGGATTTTTTGGATTTCGAATTTTTTGGTTTTAGACATATTAAAAACGTTTGAGTTTTTAAAAAAATTGATTAGTGTTTTTGGGTCCGGCTCAGGTTTAGGATTTAGATCTTCTTCAAAAAATCGCAATGTCACACCGCGCGTTTTCGTGGATCCTCTACTGGTGGCTTTTTATAATACAATGTAAAATATGGCATTAAATTTTTTAAATTAATTTACATTTTTTATTGCTTTAATTTGTATTTAATACTCCCTCCGTTTCATAATAAGTGTCGTTTTGACTCTTTACTTACCCAATGTATCTAGATATATATGGATGTATTAAGATTCAAAACACATCCAGATACATCAATAAATAGTCCAGATTCATTTTGTCAAAACGACACTTATTATGAAATGGAGGGAGTATTAACTTATTAGTAATACTAGGTGAAGACCCGTGTGTACACGCATGGATGCATTTTGGCTATGTATTATTTTGGTTTCTAAAGCCAAAACACTCTTCACATCTTTACTCCCTCTGACGTTTGTTCATCTTAGGTAGTAAGATCATTCCCTACCTTCAACATAACATCCACTGCTTCCTCCATTGTCGCCGTTCTCTTTTCCTCATAGTCCAAAAGCTCTGAAATCACATTGCCAGTTGCCACCACTCGCATTATACTCTTCTATCTCTAGCTTTGTTCTTACCACATCATCATAAACTTTGACACCATAGTCATTCTTCAGCTTACGCAGATTTCCAACTTTTTTTATCCACTACTCTCTGCAATTTTCACATTTTCGAAAATTTGAGATACTATATAAAAAAAAAGAAAGATTTTATTTCAAAGTAGAGTTCTTAAAGTCCAAACCTTTGCTGTTCCATCAGGTTCATCGATTTTTAAATGGATTCCAACGCACATCTCCAATTTGTCCTCCCCATAATGAACATAACTCCATAGCTTTCATCTCTGCTCTTGATTTTGAACATTTATGTTTCCTCATCACTGCTGGCAAAAACAGCTCCGGGTCTAACTACCCCATTATCTTCACTCTAATCATCTCTTCTTTCACCAAATCGTCGTTCCCTTTCCAAAACTGCATATCAAAGTAATATCACACATTAAAATGACATAGTTTTTCTAAAAACTCAAAGCAAAAGAGTTTGAAACAGATACATTTAAAAGGGTTTTCTGTTTTGTACCTGGTTCAACTCTTTAGTAGCGTCTTGATACTCGTTGTTGTTCATACGCTCTTTCTGTGACAGAGTCATCATTTCGTCTTGTAGAGCTGTTTCTCTACCCTCAAGTTGTCTCTGACTCTTGCCTCTTGGTCATCTCCTCTAGAACCTCTGCATCTCCATCACTCCCCACCATGTGTTTCATTACATTGGTGTTCCCTTACATTTCTACTTGCCTGGTGCTTTTCTGCAAGATGCATATCCTCCTTATTAGCCTCATTCTGCTCCCTCATAGAGAAAATATTTTACTTTTCAAACAATGATAGACAAATTCCATCGATTCAAAAGACCATATCCTATTGTTCATTTCCGATTACAAAAACTGAAAAATACCTCGATTGAACTGGTAGTGACATTGAAGTTTAACCAAGATATGTTGCCGTGTTTAGCCACCGTCTCAAGTCAGATGTAACATGCACTCGAGGCAAACACAGCTTCTTCGTCGCGATAATTGCCATCAGCGCCACCACCTCCGGCGGCGCGAATATCATCACCAAAACTGAGTTTCCTAATCTTATTGCCCAAGTCCATAACTAAGACAACCCAAATATGAAACCTGATTCAATTCAGTAAGTTTGTGTCCACCGTCGAGAAAGGGAAGCGATATCGACGCTCTCATCAACATCGATCCCTTGCGCCGGAGCAAACGCTCACATTTTCTTGACATGAGAAACCTCAGGTTTGATTATACATTACCTGTAGAGAGACACAACTGAGGGGAAAAACATCTAAACAGAAAATTGATTCAATTCCTTTCCAGACGAAGTACCACCTTCAATGAGAGCAAATGTGACTCCAAACCAAAGCCTCTAAGCTTTTTTAATTCTCGTGTTCTTTTTGCATGCAAACAACACGTTTAGTTTGTTATGCCTTTTCGTTGTTTTATGTTCAAGTTTTTGGCTCTTTATTTTGATATTATCTTCAAGTGTTTTTGGGTGTTTATCATACATGTCGACATTGGAGTTTTAATTAATGTTTTGAGTTTTTATAATACTAGATTAGGCCCCG